ATCTAATTTCTTCTAAATTTTCAGCTCAAATCAACATTTAGCCTGGCTTTTCTCATAGTATTACTTTGCATTGGCTATAATTGTGAAAAGAAAAATGCTATATATTTATTACTTATCAGACAGTAAGTAAAAAATGTTATATATTTATGAGTAACTTATTTATTTAATATCTTTTCGAATGTACAAAATGGTATATGAATCTAAAATTCATTAATTTAGTAAATTTAGAAACTTTTGGTGGGATCTTACGATCCTACAATCATACGATCTGATTATGTGAAACTAAAATCGATCCTACATAGGATCCCGATTTTACAAATCTTGCTACTAAGACCACATGATCAGGGTAGGAGTAGTTCTGACAACGGTTACATCTCCTAGTCCGGCATCCAGGATTCCAACGTCGGATCGGTCCTCCTAACTCTCCTTATAGTCAATAACCCAAAAGCTCCTCTGAAGCTGCTCACTTCTACCATTTCCACCTATTCCTTCCATGACCTACAAGGATAAACACAATTTGCAATACATAATGACATTCTAACACAACACACTACATTTTCCTGAGATCAAAATTTCTAATTTGCCCAGGTAATTTCTAACATAGACTCTCATACTACTTGTGACAACCCCACTTTTCCTAGGGCGTACCCTAAGGATTAGCGGACTACCTATCCAACTCTCGCCATAACTCACTAACCCAAATATTTTCAGTAGGCACTAAAATGAACAACACAACTTCAAAACATCACAACCCAGTGTTATATACAATAGAGTCACTAACGATTCAAGTTTAGGGTACAAGTCAAAATATTCAATCTTACACGAATACATATGAGATTTATTGATACAGAAATACAGAGAAACTTAAACAAAACGCCTAAGGTCTAGTACTAGTTCAAACTCTTTCCAAAATCACTAGTCCAAGTCTTCGTCCCTAAAAGAAAAACAAGGATAACAGAATGAACTTTCGGTCAATGAGGTATCATAGGGTCATGCAGTCAGTAATAAAACGAGAAATCAAAATTACATAAATTAGTCATTAAGTTATCAAACATGAGTCCAATTTAAAGAGACCAACGAACACCACAACTAACATAAAGTGATTCAGATAAAAAGATATAGCTAGCTCTTGGAAGCTAAATTCCTAATCACAATAGATTGATCCAAATCCGTTGACAGTCCGTCAACATTTAGAGAAGTACAAACATTGTTCATAGAGCATCACTTTACACTAATTTTCGTCCAGCATTTATTCTCCTTACCGGACCTAAACACCAAACAGTGAAGGTAATACTCGAGAATACCAAATTTTGGAATAAAACCAGAGCTCAGGGAATCAGTAACAGTTTTCCCGTGGCTTGTCAATCTACTTCGACCAAACCCTTGTCGGCACGATTCGATTAACTAGCCAATGAGGTTTGGGTCCAAGTTCACGGTGTGGTCATTGGATAGTATGTTCCAAACGACATTCAATTCAAACATAAGTAATAGTGATAGGTACCGAACCTGTGTAATAATAATAATTAAACCTAACTACCATCAAAAGCAGTCAATAATCAATTCTAGGTACTGGAGTAGGGACTCTAGGTGTGCAATGAGTTACTTGATTCACCCTGTTCTCGAAGAGTTTGCTTAATCCGATATACCAGAATTAATTATCTGACTGAATTCACTAATTAGTAAATAGTGGCAAGTAGGATCGTTTCCTCAGGGACTGGAGAGAAATTTGTTTCCTTTCGAGTCAAGATAAATGTGGGGTTTTAGGATTAACTGCTAATTAACTAAATAAATCAAATGCAAAAAATAATTAATTGACAGAAATTAATGAAAAAACTCTAGCCAAGGATATACTTCAGAAATTGTTCATATACCGATCATCGATTCACAGATAATTCCAACATTTATTAATAGATTGGTTATAGCTGTCATATACGCGATAAACAGTCGGCTTTTCCTTACTTATTCGATAATCAAGGTACGACCGTTAACTATTTTTCTAACTCGGAAACAATCCTAGGTATGACCGTAGGATTTAATTTCTAGTTTGCATTAAGATTTAGAAAGACCCAATTCTAACTAACAAACACGCTACAAGAGTTTGTTTAAGTTAGATCGTATGTTTTCCTGACATAAACTCAACTATGCCAGTTGCTATCGGGACAGAGATAATTGAACAATTACGGATCCAACTACTCCTAATTAACAAAATAGGCTACTTGAATAATTAAATATTGCGCACTATTCAATCATACACAAAAGTTATAACAATTAAAAGCAGAAAACATATAAATACCAATAAATGGAGGAAGCAGTTAAAATAATTTAGATCTCATAGTAATTGCCGAACCAAATCTTCAGTTGTCCTCTTGACTAGAATTTGAGAGTTAGTTCTCCATTAATGGAGAACAGGCCATGCGAAAAAGCTATCTGGAGCTTACAAAATTGTTCCTCTCCAAATCGGCCAACAAGAAAAGAGGAAAAATAACAATAGTAACTATTCACCTTTTTTTTGTCTCTAGCCAAAGAGATAATGAATTGATGTCTCACGAATCTTTATTCAATTACCTAATTGATTGGTTTCCTAATACCAATCCAACTCCTAAAAAGATTCCTATTACAAATCAATTTCCTTCAACTTTCCTTTTCCTTGAGAATGATCCTCGAAATAAGGAGAGTCCTAGCAGCTAACAAATTAGGAAGTTGACTCCGATTGGGAGACTGCCCAATATCAATCTCGACTTTCTGGCCTTGAATGTAGGTCCCGAATGTACCACCATCAAATTAACTGGAAAATTACCAATTTTAATCACGTTTTGCTCATTTTCGTACAATTAGCACCATTAACCAAATATAAGTAGAATCCGACAATTAAAACAGTATTTGGCTAAAATCAAGGGAAGAATAATTATAAATTTAGCAACAAATTATGACCTATCAAATAGATTCCAAGTGAATAGTAGAACAATCAACAATCAAGTGGGGCCGAATGTGATAAGGTACACACCCATCCAACCAAGAGTAAACCAAATTCACAATCAAACAATCATAACTTTCAGTCACATAGTAGTTCACCTAGCAATAAATCATGCAGGTGGTACACTCACCAGTTCAAAACAGAGTAACGTTAAACGTATTCCTCTTGGCATCCTTGGAAATCTTATTCCACCTGTCCCTTTTTCAAACTTTGGAGGTACATTCCTATCGACTTGGCCAGTGTTGCTACTAGGCACACTTCGTTTCCTTGCCTGAAAACACTGACTTGGAGCCTCGCACTTTCAACCTGTTGGGCTTTCTTGGCAGCGTCACCAAACTTATCAACTTGGGTTACGGCTAAATCTTTATGAATTTCGATATTTAACCCTTGTACAAAATGCCTTAATGGGATTTGCTCTGTTACTACTAGCTCAAGAGCAAAATTTAGATAAATTTGGTGAATTGAGTTTCATATTCGGCAATGCTTTGGGTGCTCTGACGAAATCTAATAAACTCATCTTCTCTTTTCTCTTGAATTAGGGATGAAAAATATGTCACATTAAATTCTCTCATAAAATTTGTCCAAGTCCTTGGGATTTGCTCTCTTTTCTATTTCATTCGTATCACATTCTACTGAGAATGAGCTGCTCCCTCTAAGTAGAAAATAACAAAAGTCACTTATCTTTTTTCAGTATAATGCAACGCTACAAAAATATCAATTATTTTCTCTAACCACTTCTCGACTACATTAGGGTTAGGTCCTCCAAGAAATTTTGGTGGGAAGAATTTTTAGAATCATTCGAGAACTCTATCTTCCTCTTCCACATGGTTCCTTGGGTTTTCAGATTGGTTAACAGGGTTTTGGCCTTGACAATCCACTATCTGTATTAACAGATCAGTCATATGTTGTATAGTTGAAACTACTTGTTCATTGGGATTGGCACCTGGTTTGTGATTCTATTCGAATGCCGATTCACGATCACCCCTTGATCCAAGGCCAAGAGATCTACCCCCCATTTATTTTTAACGAGTTCAGAGTCGAATACATACAAAAAAATTAAAAGTGCATAAGCAAAATGTAAGGATATAAACAAACTAGAAACTCAAGTACATCTAAACACATCCCTTTTATACATGTCACACAATAAAAAGTAAAGAATAGCTCATTGGGAATCCATTACCTTTTGATATTTAAAAATTTTCCCAATGTAGGGTAATGATCATTAAGGCTCTTATTTGAAACGAAATTATTCCTTTAAAGGCTCAAATGGGAGAGCAATAAAATCTGTATAGATAGAGAAATGAACGTTTGAAGTATCATTCCAAATTTTCAAAACAAACAAGAATAATGTACATTTTTGTTTTCACTTAGATGTGGATTGAATCTAATTAGACACACTGGACATTTTTCAAACAAAGATTGCCTCAATTTGCAGTTTGTCAATCAATGTGACTGGTTTTTTTTTTGGTTAATGGAAGTGGGCGAAATATGTATTGTAGGATGAAGGAGGCAAAGGTATCGCATTGGGTCTTTTTAGATAGACCAATCAGTTTGAGTGACCTCTTTTAATTCCGAACACTCTTATTGTATAGTTCAGATCACCAATCTAGTGTATGCAAAGATTTCAGAAAAGGGAAAAATGCACTTTTCATCCTCAAAGTTTGGACTGTTGACCAATTTCATCCTCAAAGTTTCACCCAAAACACATTTCATCCTCAAAGTTATGTAATTTTGGCCAATTAAGGACAATTGACGAGAAATAGAGAAATTGGCGTTAGACCCAACTGTAAACCCAACAAAAAATGGAATCGAATGAAGCCTTTTTTTAACGGAACAAAAATTGTTGCAACGGACCAAAACCAACATTCTTCTCCTTCTTCCCTCTGCCTTTCTGCAACCCCAAATTTTTTTTCCCAAAAGCCAAACCTTACACCACCTTGAAGCAATCAAATACTAAATTTCTATATTTTCAAATTCACATAAAGATAGTTGAGAAGTGACTGAGGGGGATAGAGGTCTTCCAACCATGGAAGATGTGATAGTGGAAGCCCTTCTATCTAATGAACAGGAAGCTCAGATTTTAGCTGCCAGAGAACTTGGTAAACTTGCAACCAAACTAAGACAGAAGTTAGCAGAAAGAGGGATCATTTCTCGGCTCGTTACGATACTTCGTAAGCAAGTTTATGAAGCCACTGAAGCGGCACTCTACTCTGCTTTGTCTAGCTTTTCACAATGAAAGGTATTGTTTGCATCAGTTAAAATTTGCAATTTTTGAAGTTGCATCCAAAGACATTGGCTGTAGAATTGTTCCCTATCTAATTTTGCTATGATTTTGCAGAAACAAGATCCGAATTGCAAATTCTGGTGCCATACCAGTATTTCTGGAGATCATTCAATGCCAAAAAGAGTCATTGATTGACCTTGCAGCAGCAGCCCTCTTGGTTCTTTCTTCTTGCTCCGCTAACAAGTTAGCAATCGCAGCATCTGGGGTTGTCCGAATCCTGGTTGGATATCTGAATTCCCAATTGGCAGAAGAACGTGATTTCCAGAATCTAAACGTGTAGGTTAAGCTCGATATCATATCCATATTTCACAATCTCTCCACCCATCCTCAGATAATCCTATCTATTGTTTTGGGGTGGGGGAGGAAGCGGTGGTGGAAATAGAGAAGGCGGTGGTTAGGGAAGTGAGAGTGGAAATGGTCAACATGCAAAGGATGGGAATGTGATTGATCACCATAACGGTACGAGTTCTGGAAGTAAATGGCAATCAGGTTGCGCACTATGGAAGTAGTGGAGACAAAGGAGGGGGTAGCGGTGGCGGTGGTGGCGGTGGCAGTGGAGGTGGAGGTGGAGGTGGTGGAAGTGGTAGTGGTGGAGGGAGAGGTGGTGGAAGGAGGAAAAGGAGAGGAAAACATACATGCAGTAGAAGGAGAGGTAGTGGTGGCGGTGGAGATGGACATGGAGGTGCGGGTGGGGGTGGGGGTGGAGGAGGAGGCGGTGGTGGTGGAAATGGTGGAGGCCATGGTTGGGGAAGTGGGAGTGGTAGTGGTGGCGGCGGCAGTAGTGGAGGAGGAGGAGGAGGTGGTGGTGGTGGTGGTGGAGGGGGTGAAGGAGACGGTTAGGGATAGGGAGGTGGAGGAGGAAGAAACCAAGATGGGTGTTAGGGATGGGATGTGGTGGAAATCAACCTCCATCAAGTAAATGAGCCCTAAAACTGGATTTGGCATTTTCAAGCGCCTAAGAATTCCAGAGATTGGGAAAAAAATTTTGGGGTTGCAAAAAGGCAGAGGGAAGAAGGAGAAGAATGTTGGTTTTCGTCCGTTGCAACAATTTTTGTTCTGTTAAAAAATGGCTCCATTCGGTTAAATCCATTTTTTGTTGGGTTTACAGTTGGGTCCAACACCAATTTCTTCATTTCCCGTCAATTGTCCTTAATTGGCCAAAATTACGTAACTTTGAGGATGAAATGTGTTTTGGGTGAAACTTTGAGGATGAAATTAGTCAACAGCCCAAACTTTGAGGATGAAAAGTGCATTTTTTCCTTTCAGAAAATATACACTTGTGAATTTTCAGACAAGAGTTTGAAAAATCTCAACTTAGTCTTATTTTTAAAAATCCATCATGAAATCTCCCAATGAGCAAATAAAGATTGAAATGTACATGAATATATACAAAACAATAATTGTCTAGATGAAAAATTTTATAGTTGCAAATGTTTGATATTTTTTTTTAAAAAAATATAATACATATGAGAAAAGAAAAATTCTGAAGAACTCCTTTACACATGTATACACACTTTTTTCTCTCTCAATAACCTTCTTTTTAACAACTAAATCATGAAATCTTTTAAATATTTTAAACTAGTGCTTTCAGATGGATTCTTCAAATTTACATTGTAGGGCCAGCCCAAGAATCAAGTAATACTTGTAATTTTAAGATTTATTAGACAAAATCGTTATTAAATACAGAAAAATATTTTCACCTTATTGAAACCTCTTTTATAAATGCAGGGAAGGGCTAAAAATGAAAGAAAAATACCTAGATTTAGTAAGCAAAACTCTAAAATCGGTATGCATGTCCTATAGGGGAGCCCTTTATGCCAAGGGTTGGCTTAGAATGAAAATGCAATCCTGTAGGGTAAGCACCATACAATACCTGATAAATCCGATCAGTTTATTGATATTCGAGTGAAAAATAATTTGAAAAAATTTGGTCAATTGGAGTGGCAAGAAACATTTGTCCTAACAAAATGAGGACAAAGTCCAAATGGATTGATTACTTTGATTGACTCATAAAATGATGTTAAAAAATCAATTCAGCGTGAAAGAACCTACTTTTGAAAGGATTGCGATATTTCGACTAGGTTTTCAGTGAACCATAGATCGAAACCTTAAAAGGGAATAAATTGATTAAATGAATCTGATGAAATTGATGGTTTATTCAAAAAATTGACTGGATTGCATTAAAAATGGATAACTTGATCAAATGGATTGGATGAAATTGATAATTTATTCAAAAGTGAAAACCTGGTCGAATGGATTAGATGGAATCGATGATTTATTCAAAAATCGACTGTATTGCTCTAAAAGTGAATAAACTGATAAAATGGATTGGATAGAATTGACGGTTTATTCAAAAATTGACTAAATTGTTCATCCATCGGTAATCTCAAAATTTTACAAATTTCGTTGCAATGCATTAGCCTATGAGCCTTCTAAAATCAGGATTTGGTCTCGATATATTTATCATTTCAACAATGAAGAATAATTTGTGAATTTCTTCAACTTAATGTCCTTTACGCAAGGGATTTCTACCATTTCGAATAAAATGGCCAAAAAATGATTGTTAGATGCTCATATTCTAATGTGCAAAAGTTGATCTATTATCATGAAAACAATCGGATTCTACCTTAACTCGTGCACTATCCTTTTGGATGATACAAAATATAAACGTGCAAGTTTTATTGGATTACATATCCGAGACACAAGGTGGCTTATTCCTAACACGGGATTCCCTATGTGGCATTCCCTCTAAAGTTTATGCATGATGCCAATTTCTCAAAGCAATTGAATATGCAACTTGAAATGAAAATATGATCTAAGGGACCCCTCGTGTGCCAGGGTAGGTCTAAAATGATGAGCAATTATTAACCTACGAATGCAATACATCGGAATTTAAATGTGCAATAACCTATCTAAAAGGGTAGGTGCTAAAAGAGTATCATGCCAGAACTCTTATTTCTAGCGTTTGTGAATGCAAAAGATGAGAAAACAAGGAAATGTTAGTTCAACACATAACACATTGGGGCAATTAGATAATAAAAAGTAAAAAGAAAAATAAGGAAAGAGGGATGGAATCCCTCCCTTAGTGCCTAGTGTTCCTAGTTGGGTGCGGTTGACACTATCCTAGACGATTTCTAATATGGATGCATGAGATTGGGTTCACTAATACATCCAGACTCGATAAAGCTTCAAATCCCCAAACCTTCAGACCAAAGTTGATGGGTCATCAATCCCAAGGCCCAAGAGTCGGTGGTTCAAATGATCCCTCAGACATTGTTACGCGCATGTCGTGCCACGGCCACATGTCCAAGTGGATCAATTCTAATCCTAAATAGGAAAGAGTGGTATGACAACCACTAAAATTAAAAAAGAAATGAGGGGTTATAAAGTAAAACGTATGCACGTATGAAATGCTCCTTTTGAAGGGAGGGATTAAATACCATCAAATGTGGGTGAAGGTTATAGGGTGGCTATCCTCTCCCCAAGATGCAAGCACGATATATAAACATAAGTGAATGAAATAAAACATATCATATACACGAATATTGAGACGATTGCGCTCGTTAAATGCAAGAAACCCTAAAAATGGAAAAAATGCAACCTAAAACCTCCAAATGTGATATATAAGAAGGTTAGAAAAAGAAAAAGGATGATTAAATCAAATGTTCGGATTCTCTAAGTCCCCAGTGGAGTCGCCAGCTGTCACGTCTCATTTTTTCGAAAAAATATGAAAATTATGAGTTTTGATAAAAAAAATGAAATTTTGATTAATGTTGATTGAAAATGAGTTTTTGATTTGTAGAGAATAAATAAAGAAAAAGGGCCTAAAATGGGACTTAAAAAATGCACGATTTTGGCCTAAAATAATAGTTTAAAAAGGGTTTTTAATAAAAAATAGGAGTCACCACTTCGTATTGAATTAAGGTATACCAAGTCACCTAATATGAATTTTGAATAAAAAAGTAGAACAAACCCTTTTAAAATGACTCAAAGTCTTCGAAAATCAGAGAAAAGTATTCGGGAGTCACGTTTGAAGAAAGGGAAGGTAACGATAAAATCCAAGGTACCCTTTCAACCTAACCAAGATTAGTTGCGTGATTTAGTCGAAAAATTATCTTAATTTAACCTAAAAATTTATCACATTTGGACGTTACTAAATGGATGCAAACCTAGACCTAATAGCTATTGGGAGGGTCGAGATATCTCTTCAAAGTTTAATTGGTGCAAATCGCATTCATTGCGATGTCCAAGAGTCACTCTTTGAAGAGGTTATGAATTTGCAAAAAATGGGACTCAAAGAAAAGAAAGAAAATAATAATATATAAATATATGTGACCTAAAGGAATGCTTCATAATGGGTATGGGAGACTAATATTCGTGATTTAAATTTTTCCTTTGATAGAGGGAATACGAGCGTGCTAAAGTTAGAGAGCCATACTCGTCCATATCCCATATTCGAGGGGTATTTCCTATCTAGTTAAGCAAATGATCTAACCTAGTTCTAATTTTCTTAAATGAAATGCAACTCTAATGCCATGTCTCACACATAGGGATAAGGGATATACATAGAGGGAAATATCATGCAAAAATGATAAGGATCCTAATAAGTAGAAATTATGCATGAAATGTAGTATCTTGTCACACAAACATGATCTAACGCGCGGATGGTTCCTAAGGGTCTAGCGGTGGACTAACCCATGTCTATAAGTTCTCATTAGTATTGGACTAGTGAGAAATCGGAAAAGAGGGCCACAACTAACGTTGGACTAGTGTGGAATCGGAAAAAAGGGCCACAACTAGCGTTGGACTAGTGTGACGACGTCATGCATTTATTATAATCAAATAAATCAGATAAAACATAATGAAAGCAAATAAACACATAAATCACATATAGCACATAGCACATAAGTATGATATTTAGATGCAAAGATTCTAAGAAAACGAGTAAACACATAAACACACGAGCATGCAAACACATAAACAAATAAAAGCGAATAAAGACCTAACTATTACATTCGGGGTACCCTAACTACAATCTAAAGGGGTAAAGAATGAAAAATAATAACCTAACTATTACAATTTGGCATTTAAATGCCTCTAAAATAATCAATAATTAAATTAAATTAAATATACAAAACTAAAAACAAATAAAATGAATAAATAAATAAAGTAATTAAAAACATTCAAAAAAACATGCAATTACACACATAAAATCACACAGAGCACATAAAAGACTTTAAATAATAAAAGAAAATACCTCCCCTTGAAGTAGTAGCTAAT